GACTATCATAATGATGTGTTCCAAGAATCACGCCTTACACACTGAGCTAATGTTTCCCAGCAGCATCTCTTTCCAGAACAAAATTTAATTTTTCTAGTACTCTGAGGCATGGGTCTTCATTAAAACTGATTTATTTCTGATTCAGAAAACAAAAGCAACAACTTGTGATAGCATTGTCTGTCCATGAAAAGCAGGGAAGAAACCTTTACCAAGGAGTTCAGAGAACAAGGAAAATTTTCCCCACAAATCAATTAGACACACATCCCTGCGAGAGACTGTGAAGAATCATAGCAACACTTAGACTACACACTTCAAGTTGTTCAGCTAAATTTCAGCAATTGAGAGGATTTGTAGAATGATGCAGAATGTCTCTTCTTAGCAATGATGCACTTTATTGGGTACCAGCATCTAGTGCCCAGTGTATTCTTTTTAGCGGTGAGTGTATTCATCAGGTAGCAATTACTAGCTTTTAAACACAATAGCAGTGGATGATCCTAGTGGTGCAGACCTGTAATCTCATCTACTCTGGAAGTTGAGAAGGAGGGTTGTAAATTCTCCAGCTGTCTGGGCAACTTAGTGAGACCCCAATTACAAAGTAAAAAGTGAAAGACAGCTGTGGTTATCTGTCAGTGTGGATTACTTGCCTAGTAAGTGGAAGGCCCCAAATTCAATTCGTAGTACCACAAAAAGAGATAAATAATAAAAACATGGTAACACTTGTTCAGTCTCATAGAACCTTTGAAACGTCACATTATGTTGGTTGATGGGCATTCCACCTAGTGAGCAATCTTCAATTATTAAAACAAATTGAATTCCCATTCTTCCCATCTTGTAATCCTGAGTCATGAAATATGAGCAAATGTTTGGATCATGTTTTGTTCATGGAGCTTCTGGTTGTGTGCTTCTGTCTTCGTGGATACGCATAACAGATGTGGGAGATAAAGGAAGCATGCATTCCCATGGCCTGGCCAGTGGTCACAATGACCTAATTGGCTTGGAGTCTGTTAGTAACCAGCAGCTGATGGTTTAAAGAAATCCTAACAGAAAGGCCACCTAGATTAACTCACCAAAGGGATCTATACACTCCTAAGGAGCCCGGGATTCACTGTATTGTAGAGGATCACATCAGAGATGGATTTAATCCTAGTAGTCTCCCCTTAAAGGATTTGTTGTTTGACCTCACATCTTTCTAGGTGGTGACTTCAACTTTGCATGAGCTGTTTGCAGCTTCTCATACTCTTTCACCTCCTTTAGTTTAGAAGTTTCTGGTAAGGGAGTATAACTGGGCTTTGAACCTATACATCCAACTTGAAGGGAGAGTGGTGCTGCTTGTTCATGGATAGATATTAGTAGAAACAGACAGGGCAGTATGTGAGGGAAAGCAAGGTTGAGTATCACAGAACACTGCCACCAGGTATGATGGAGCACTGTCACCTTCAAATAGAGAAAACTTCTTGTAGTGAATGAAGTTAATGCAAAGAAACAGTAAGACAGGACGGATAAGGGAATGGCCCAAGACAAAACTCTTCCATTTTCCTCTAAAGTCTCATGGAATGCTGGGAAAGAGACAATGGAAAAAATAATGGAACCAGAGTACAGGGAGAGGGCTTGCAGATTGTGATCTTCTGAGGAAAAAAGGGGCATGGCAACAAAAACTCACAACAGCTGGGCATGTGGTTACAGGGCCACAGCAGTCAGGTCCTCCTAACAGTTGCATGTGGAGAGGAAAGGGACTCACTGATCTCAGACTCACAGGCCTCTCCTACATCACTGCTGGTCTGTTTGAAGACTCTGGTAGAGAGAGAAGCATGGTGTCTGGTTGGGGAACTCACCAGACACTGATGGTTAGCTCTAACACAGGGTCATGCAGAGTCCATGGTGAAACACTGCAGGTCAGTAAATAAAACCAAAACTATAAATAAAGGAAAGAGATTTAGGGAGAAGGGAGGAATAGGCTAAGGTCAGGAGGGAAATGAGAGAAAGTAGGAGGGGCCAGGCCCAATATACATAGTTTACATGTATGGAATTGTAAAAGAACAAATTTAATAATAAGAGAAACTTAACAATGTTAAAGACATAAGAACTTCTCATTTAGATTATTCATAAACAAAAATATCTCTAAACCAGTACAAAGTTTGACATGCTAATTATATTCTTGGTTAACTTTTAAAATACATGAGTTCTACTCCAGTAAAATGTGGTAATATGTATATTCAGTATCATCACGGGCACCATTGCTGTATGGTCCCAGTTACATACACAGACACATTGTAACAGGAAGATATATCTCAATTAACTGAGCTTATGTAAGGCAGGTCTCGGGGTTTCCTGAGATTGTCCCTGTAGAGTCACCTGTGATTTCTAATTTAATCACTAGGTGGTTATGAAGAACCAGCTGTTCAGTCTGGTTCTTTGTGTCTGGGAATTTGTGTCCATTTTGATTTGATGTAAAGACCAGGACATTTCGTATCTTGCTCAAAAATAGTGGTTTTGCAGTAATGCATCAGACCACACAGGTTCTCAGAAAGTTGGAGTACCTGTGGTGGTAGTGAGAACCCTCAGTGGTTCTCAGAGTAGAGATGTCATTGGTGACCACTGACACCGAGGTACATAAAACACTGCTACTTAAGGCCATAAACATGTTTTCTTTATTACTTCTGTATAAATGTTAGTTTCACTATTATATGTGTTAATTGCGATGATTTCTAAAATTTTCAATATAGATTCCTCATTACTCTTAATATCTTAATTATGAATCTACACTCCCCCCAGATCGGGATGGGTTATATCTTACATTATTATATACTTGGGAGTTAATAATAATTTGAAGTTTACTATTTTCTAATTACTTGAGAGCAAAGAAAATCAATTGCGTGTGTTGGCTTTTCAGGGATTTAGGTTTCTGCATTAATAAATCAATGAGATTAGAGCATATGAAACAAGTTTATTTGTGGCTGGGGAGTCTGCAAACTATTTTTAAAACAGAAGAATTAAAGTGCACATTGTAGTTCATACACAGGAAGTGTGAAGAGTGTAGTCCACAGACAGGAAGCATGCATAGAGTAGTTCACACACAGGAAATCACAATGAACTTGGCTGATAATGGTCGGCTATAACAGTCTCTTGTGATCCAAACAAGAGGATATGCTAAACTCTGTTAGCGTGAACCGCTGGACCACAGTGAGGGATAATGAATATTGGTTTCTGTTAAAGCCCCAGGACCTGGTCCTGAATCGAATGCTATGATTTTTCCTGCTCATTTTGTCTGAAGGTACTTAAAAATATGGAAGTGTGGTAAAGATATTTGAGGCTATTTTATTGATTTCATTACCATGTTATCATTTTGCGTTTACTGCCCAAAGGCTAGGCATGCTAGGAATTTCACTCGTGACTGAACTCTGGTCATCTTAAGTTATTGATTTTATTATTGAATCAGCCCAGGTACTGGACTTAAGAATGGTAACATTCACAGAACACATTGGTTTTCCTTCAGAGTAGCTCTTGTTTACTAACTGTAAATATGGGATTCACACTTCATACACACCCATCTTACTAATTAGCCAAGGTTGACCCAACACTGAAAAAATTTAATCTGTCCAGGGAAATCAGAGTCCCACACACACTAGAGATAGGATCTAGAGCTTATACATTCACCTACTGTACTATATCTCCTCCTCTTGATTTGTGACAGAGTCTGTTTAAATTGCCCAGGATTGCCCTGAACTGAATCTTTAGATAAGGCTGGCCTTGGACTTGAGATCCTATTGCCCCAGCCACTGGAGTTAGTGGGGATATTTCAGGCATCCACCACCAGGTCCAATTCATTTTCTTAATGTTGTGAGGTGATATACATTTTTAAAAACTCATTTTTAAAGGAATTCTTATCAAAAGAGTATTTTGTAATATGCATGACCCCCCATTAGGTTAATATAATGGAGACTGCAAAACCTGGAAATAAAAAAACCCTGAGTTTTGGAGTTGTATATAAAGATTGTTAATGAAGAAATATTAAACTACAAAAAATATGGAAGGCCTATGATATTTTATTGAAAGAGAAGACACTTACTTGAAAATTCAAGAACGACAAAAACCAAAGGTCCACACACTGCTCCTCAGGTTAAACTGAAACCCAAAGAGCACAAGTCTCCTCCACCAGCTCTATTCATCCCCCATACGTTCTACATACCCGTGAACACACCCACACAGGAGTGGTTAGAGCTATGGATATGTAAATTCTCTCCTACAATTTCCCTTTTAGTCCAAAGAAAAGATTTAGACTCAAGACAAAACTACATTGATTTAGACTTAAGACAAAACTAAATTGTGTCACTATACAAAATGTCTCAAACATATATAAAGCATATATGCATAGAAGATGATAAACAAATTATAATCCACCTATATACTATCCTAAGCATATCCTAACTCATCTGAAAGAGATGTCTAAGTCTGAACACCTTCCAATCCCAACCATAAACAATTGAAAACTAACACTAACAGGTGTAAACTATCCTGTAATATCAATAGTAGGGAGGGGGCATAGTATTCTCAAGATTACTTCCTGCTGAAATGGGATGATGACAATCTCTTTTAAGCTTTTGTCATTTTATTTGGAAATTTATATCCCACTTTTGACACCATATTGTTATGGGATTCTCGCCCAGGTCCCATTGCCGGTTTAACCCCCAAATAACACACAAGACACTATATTAGTTATGAAGCTGTTGGCTGTCCATTATGGTTTCCAATATGCTAGCTCTGACTTAATTATTTACCCATAATTACTAATATATATTTTTATAAGGTCTATCTTACCAAGAACACAGATTTGCATCCTCTTCCCAGGAAGATCACATGGTGACGACTCTCTTCACTACATTTCCCAGAATCGTCCTAGACTCCTAGTCCTACCTATCTTGCTTCCCTTTTGGCCAACAGTGTTTTATTTAAACCAATCAAACATACGCAGGAGGACTTCCCCCATCAGACTGTATACTCACTTGCTTTACTGTAGGACAACTATGTCACTTGTTGAAAGAGAGCAGTATTGTCTGTACAGAGAGTCACAAACCTTGGAATCACAAAGACAAGCAAAAAAAGCCCTTAGACACTCAGTAGCTGTGTAAATGTGATCACTCACCTAACCTTTCTATGTCTCATTTTACTGATCCACACATTTGTGCCTATAATATGCAGTCCACTGGGTTAGCATAAAGCCCAAGAGAAAAATAGTTCCAAGCTTTGCATATGGGCTGTGGTTTGAACAAAAGACTTGGTAAATTCCTTCAGTTCACATCTTTGCCTAGAATTTTTTGAAGGCCGTATATGACATATTGTAAGGGAAACAATGCATATGCCAGCCTCTGTGACTACATATCAATAGGAACATAAAATAGTTACAAGAAAGAATTGAGTGCTAACCCTAGTTAACAATTTTATAACTGAAACTGAGAATTCAGTCTCAGACATTTTCACGTTACTCTTCTAGAATCTCTAAATTTTCTACTGTTAATATTTATTTGAATGTTTAAATCAAAGAGCTTTTTGGTTGAAATACACTTGACATCAGTCAAAATTAAATGAGAATAAAGGCTTTCATTGAATAAATTTTTTGCTTTCTTTATCAGGTATCCATTAATTGCATCCCTTGATCCATAATCTACGGGGGTATGACAACTATTTTTTAAGAGGAAACATAAAGGATATTTTCAGTTCATCTTCCATTTTTTAGTAAATTAGTTTCCATGTTTTAGTTTGCTTTCTGTTGCCAGGATACAGCATTCCAACAATAAGAAACTTGGGGAAGTAAATGATTTATGTGTCTTGTACTTCCTGGTCCCATCTATGAGGGAGGCCAGGAGAGTAACTCAGGAAGGAATTTGAAGCAGAAACCGTGGAGAAATGCTGCTTGCTGGCTAACTTCCAATTCCATTCTTTGCTAGCTTTCTTATGTTGTCCAGTACCACATGCCTATGGAATGGTACCAACAATAGTAGTCTGGGCCCACATATACTGATTAATCATCAGGACAATTTCCCACAGACACACTGATCTGGGCAACCCCTCATTTAAGACTCCCTCCTCAGGTGACTCTAGGCTGTACCAAGGTGAACAAGTAAAGCAAACTAAGTATTTCCACTATGTATGTATAAGTCCCTTGAGAAACATCAAATAAATGGGAAGAAATTGGATTCATAAGATGTTATAATTCTCTAAATGTAAAATCACCCACTTAAATGCATTTTAAACCTAAGATTTACATACCCCATGTGTGCTTCTTTATATTAATTCTGACTTAACATAAAAATAGTCATTACCCTGAGTATACTTGAAACACATCACCTATCAACCTTCTTGATCAAAACAGAAAGTAAGAAAATAAAGACAGAAAAAGGGGAATTATTTGAGCTACTGAATTAATTGTGACAAATGGTGAGAATGGAAATTATAAAAATATCCAGACTGCTAATTTATACTTTTTCAAATAAGATAATACAATTATATTTTATTGCAAACAGTGATCAGAGTGACTGTCCTCCACAAGAGTGAGAAAAACTTCTTGAGGGTAGCCTGTCATAGCTGGCAAATCATTATGGCAGGCATTCTGTAGCCTGTACCAGGTGTCAAGAGGGAAACTCTGCCTTGCAGCTCTTCTCTGCAGAGTGCCCCAAAATTTTTGGATCTCAAAGACACTATCAATCTTTTTAACAGCTTGTATAGGTAGCCCCTGCCTGCTCCTAAGGGAATTGCCTTGAATCTAGATGTTTTTAAGAGGAAAAGCTAAAAGGAAAGAAAAAACAGACACTTGTAACTCAGATTATTAGCAAAATGGGAAACTGATATGGTGAAGAGAAATGGGACAAATCTAGGGGGAAAATGTAAAATAAATGTAGAAAAAAAACCTTCCTAGTCATTCCAGATAGAAATCTGTTTCCAACTAAGAATGGTGAATGTGGTTCCTCTATAACAGCATGTAAAATCTTTGGATCCCAAAACAGCATTAACAGTATTTTTCCAAGGTTCCTTCCAAAGCCTCTACTGAAATGATGGATACGTGTCACTATTGTAAAGTGGGAATTTGCTGTGTAATATTATATTCAAATGACACAAGGATTTTTTAATTTTCCAAGTTTCTGAAAATGATAATTTGTCCTTTGAAGAATGACCAAGTGGAGGCAATTGACAAATGAAGAGTCCCTGACATGCTCTCCTGCCATGGCTGGAAAGGCCCCGAGGTTGTTCATTCATGCAGTGTACTTTGGGCTGGTGCAACAGGACCAAAGAAGCTACTGTGTCCCCTACAGACACCCCATCACCAGTTATTCACTGTGGACCAGTGTGTATTTAGTGTCACTGGACAAACTGTAAGTTCCTCTGATTATCTAGTGAGATCAATTGGCATCTGGCTATCGAGTGTTAAATAATGAGGTTGGAGATACTCATGGCTTAATCCTCTTAAGTCAACATGGGAGAGACCTGTTCATTTAGTTGGATCTTGAGGGTAGTTATCTACAAAGACAGGTCCCCATGAGTTAGAGTTCTGCACTTTTCAAATGTGTGTAAGTTTTCAAAGTGGAGTCAAAGAACACTGAAGTGAAATGTGCCTGGCACACTTCCCTGATGAGAAGGAAGCATTCTGTTAATAACAAGAGAAGACTGACCGACTTGCCGCATCTGCCGCTGGGGACCAACCGAAGAGGCAGATACCCGGCAGAGGAGCTCACTTAGAAAGGTGGCTTTGCTGGTGTTTCTGTGGATGAGCAAGGAAAGTGACGGCTACTCTCAGCAAGGATGACAAGACAGAACAGGCTTCCTCGTAGCTTCTCAAATGTTTTCTCCTCTTTTTCTGTACCACCTCATGCTGACATGTATGATGTCAATAAACACAAATCTTTAGAACAGGCTCTGGGGAAGAGAAGAGAGGTCACTCTGAGAAAGCTCCATTTCAGATATCCCAATAACTGTTCTGTGGTTTTGTTGCTGTGTGATTATAATCGCACAATAAAAGACCCAGATGTCCCCATCCTCTTTATAGATCAGCCTTTAAGACAGTGTAAAACACACTTCGATTCCTATTTCATGTGCCTATTCATAAAGTAATTCTGATAAGCACAGTTGATGCTTCATGAGATTCCTTTCACTATTTAAAGTTGCTTATAAAATTGATAGTCAGGTCACTTAAGAGACCTCATGTTCTTTTGAGCAAAATGACCCGGTCCCCATATTTTGATCCCTTCCCCTGCTTTATGGTCCCGTATATCCTAGTTACCTGCATATTCATTGATCTTCAAGAATCAAAACTTTTGGAAAGTATACACCCTATTTCCAATGATAAGCTTTTAAAGATTCCCATCAGTAAAACAGTCAAAGATACTGTCATTTTTTTTGCAACTACCACATTTATTAAAACAATGCATGTGGATTGCAGTTCAGTTTAATATTAACTACAGCAGTCTTAGATTCTATTACTGGGGTTCAGATCTTGTTTCTGCTACTTAATAACCACTCAACTGGATAGATTACTTAATTATGTGAGCCCCCAGTTTCCTTACTAGCAAGAAAATGTTCTATTACACCTAAAATTCAGTCAGTGATGACTAAGTGCCAGACATACAAGAATCATTGCATGACTAGTTGTTATTATTAGATTTTAAAACATCTTAGGGAATGCCAAATCAATTTAGTGAAAGCTATTTATCTCTAAACAAATCTTTATGGGTTTTTCTCACTGAGTTTTCAGTCCCTTGAAATCACACACACACACACACACACACACACACACACAGAAATAGAGAGAGAGAGAACAAACAATTTAGTTCATATGCTATACAAGTACTTTAAAGCTATGACAGGTTGCACACACGAGAGAGAGAGAGAGAGAGAGAGAGAGAGAGAGAGAGAGAGAGAGAGAGAGAGAGAGAGAGAGAGAGAACAAACAATTTAGTTCATATGCTTACAAGTACTTTAAAGCTATGACAGGTTGCTACATCCAGTGAAAGACTGTGACACAGGTCAGGGGAGAGAAAGAAGGCAGGAAGGAAAAGGCAAGGCATGAGGAAGGGCAGACTGAGATGACCTAGGCAGTCCAGCAGCCATGCGATGTGCATACTCACCCAAATCAAATGCAGTTTGTGAGAGGAGACACAGAGAAGAGATATGCAAAGTGAGGCTGAATGCAACCTTGAATGAAGTGACCCATTGGGTCCCTGAGTGCAACCTTGAATGAAGTGACCCATTGGGTCCCTTGGCACGTTGATGTCTGCAGAATTTGCTCCAAATAAAGTAGTCACTTAGAAGAGTGTCCTGTTTCTTTCTGGGGCCTGTTTCATGACAAGTAGAAAAGAACTAACAGTTAATTTATCTTATAAAATGCATATTCAGAGGCAATCATATTCTGTGTTGGTGAATGTCGTTGCTCTGGTAACACAAAAGTAAAATTTTCACCTCATCTGAAGTTTCCTTGGGCTTGGATCTCTCACAGAATGTACCTTGACCAGTACATGAAAAAATAATTAATGCTTGATATTAAACTTTGTTACCACCTAACAAGCTCTTCACAATTTTCAGTTTGAGAGGGAGTGGTAAATAAGAAGTACACCGTGTGCCTTGGGAATGACTGCTGAGGCAAACATAATGATTGGCAAGTAGGAGCTCAAGTGGGTACAACTATTTCAGATCACTCTCATTAAGTCTTCTTGTAGCTGTGTCTTCATGCTTGTTTCACGTGGTAGGTCCTTCCTCTTTTTGGTTGAAGTGAATGGTGCTCTGAAGAAATTCATCACCCTCTAGGGGAAAAATCCACCTTAAAAGACATTCGAAAACCCTCTTGATTCCTGCAAGGATTTGAACCCAACAAATGGCACATAGTACATCAAATAAGCACCTAGAGACAGATTTCTAACACTCAAATACCCTGTGAGCTTATCCTATCAAGAGCACCTAGAGACAGATTTCTAACATTCAAATACCCTGTGAACTTAGCCTATCCAGGTCTAAGTGAGCTCTTCTCTCTTCCACGTCCCTTCCTCAGGCAGAATGATGCCTAGGTTGTCTTTGCTCTGCACATTGATGAAACTTCAAGTAAAATGACACTGGGATCTAGCAGTGACCCAGAAGTTCTGCTTAGACATTCACTGTCTCTTAGGCACCCATTTGTTTCCAAACAGGGTAATCAGTTATTGACCATTATTTCTCACTTTTGCTTTCATGCCCAGTATTGAAGCAAGGTAAGTGACATATTCACATTGACACAGATGGCTTCTTGTAGGGTCATTGCCACAGAACTTGGAAAGATGGATGCATGACAGTGAAGGGGTATGAACTTATCAGGGTATAATAGGAAAATTCCATGCATTGTATATTTCTGCACACAGTATTGCTCTTTATGCAAGTTAATATATCTGAGAATTGTCTGATGATAAGAAAACCAACTGAATTTAATACCTTCATGCTTAAATATAACATATGAGCATTTAATTTTCTCTATTTCCTATTAGTTTTAACATATTAAAATAAAATTTCCTTTAACTAAATAGCAGTATATGTAAAGGTCTTTGTTCTGGGTTTCATTTTACTCGGGTATGAGAAGCACTGGTACCTGCTGTGTGATCTGAGTGACCATAACATTAGAACTCCCATTTCTGATCACTGTCAGGAGGGGCAATTGGTCAGACAAACTGAAGAACATGCTTAAGGTCAACTGAAGATTAAATTTCATCTTGAGGACAGTAAGCTCTCATTTATATGTTTAAGGAAGTGCATGTTCTGTCCTTTCTGTGACCCTCAAAGGTATCATGAAGCAGGAAGTTTCAAGTGAACTTCATACCAGCGATTTTCACACACTTCTATTTGGCAAAGAAGAATTTACATAGGGCACCCTCTACACTCTGGTCTGAGCAGATTTTCCAGCTACTTTGACCCTTCATTCCAGAGTCTTTAAAAAACATTTTAGAGGAAATGGGTATACCATCATATGAAAAGAAATACCACAATGCCTGAATTCCATTAGTGTGTTAATCTGCTGATTGATCAACTATGTATAAAGAATTCGATATCCAGAAGACATAAGCACACAAAGATAGAGGCTCTGCCCTCAGGAAGTACATCGTTTGAGGACAGAAAACAAAGTGACAGGTACTGAACTCAAAAGCAAGATATCCAAGCAGATACACAGATTTGTGCCACCCAGACTCTGAGATGGGCATGATCACCTGAAGTTAGCTGAGTAAAGCTGCGGTGTCCTTCTGATGTCCTGTAGGACTGCTTTTTTTATCAGCATTTCAAACTATTCTTTGCAAAGTCCTTCACCTCCTTGCTTAGGTTTATTCCCAGGTATTTTCGGGTTTTGCAAATTTCAGACAATGTAGTTTGATCATCTTCATCCACTTCCCTGTTATAGTATTTCATTAGGCTATTATAAATAGGATTTATTTCTCAAAAATTCTTTCACAGAAAGATATATATCATTATATTATATATGCTATTGGTCTGTTATAAATATGCATATTTATTTCTGTGAGCATAAGCCTTATATATTCAGTGCCCACAGAGGCCAGCAGAAGATATCGGACATCTGGAACTAGAGTTATAGGTGGTTGTGAGCTGCCTGACATGGGTGGTTGGGAATCAAATAAAGATCCTCTAGAAAAACAGGTAGCTTTATTAACCACTGTATTATATTTCCACCACCCCCACCCCCAATTTATTTCATACATTGGATTTTTATGTCCTTAATGGACGTGTCAGACCCAAGAATAGTATTCTAGTATGGTGTACATGGTCTTTTAAATGTAGAATCATGTCATAACATACAGGGTTAGTTTGACTTTTCTCTTGTCTACTGGCATGCTTCTATTCTTTTTCTTGTCATATTGCTATGTGTGAGATTTCAAGCACTGTACTATAGTAATAAGAGAGGGCACCCTTGTCCCCTTTTTGTTTGAGAGGCTATGCTCTCAGTTTTTCTTTCATTTAATACAATGTTGACTCCAGGTTTGTTACAGGTTTGTTTATTATGTTCAGATAAGTTTCTTCTCTTCCAAGTATATCATTAAAAAGACACATTAAACATTAAGCCTACCACATTCCCTTTCTTACATCTGGAAGACAATCAAGTGGAATATGTCTTTAAGTATATTTACATGGTGATTGTATTTATATACACACACATATGATAATATGTATTTATTGAACAACTTTGTATGTTTGGGATGAAACTAAAATAGTTATGATGTATGAAAAGATCAAGCTACATAACTCATCTATATTCAGAGGGCCTAGTTAGGTCCCATGCAGGTTCCCCAGCTTTTAATCCACTTGGGTTCTCCAGCGTGGGATAGCTGTCTCTGATTTTCTCCATCATGCTCTTGACCCCTCCCTCTGTGTTCATATTCTCCCTAATCTCTCCATTCATCTGAACTCTAGCTAAGTTCAGTGCTTAGTTGTGAGTTACTGCACCTGTTTCCATCAGTTTCTGGATTAGATTCTATGATGACAATTAGGGTAGTCACTCCCATACCTTACTCCACATCCTCTCCAGCATAAGCTGTCATCAGTGTATTTGATCTCAGCCATTCTGATAGGTGTAACATGGTATCTCCGAATCATTTTGATTTCAATTTTTCCTAATGGATGTTGAGAAATTCCTTAAACATCTTTTGGACATGAGAGTTTAATATATTTTTTCAGTGATCTGGTTTTCACTGGGGTCTGTTATAAAAATTTTCCTTTCCTGTCTAATTGTGTTTGTTTTCATCTTCTCTTCTTTTCATTAGCTTTGCCTGAGTCAGAATTGGTTTATTCACTGTGTATAGAGACAAACATATCACAAAAACCCACAATCAATTGTTCATGTCAATGTGACATATTTTATAGAGTAACTAAGCATGGCAATGATGATACCTTTGAGAATATCCAAAATGAGCCTTAGTTAAAAATAAGTGAACTAAAATCCTGTGTTAATGACACTTTGTGGCTGGATATCACATGTTATGCATACATTGTTCTTCCTATATGTAACGATAATGAATGAAATAATGAATTCCTTGTGCCATGTAATCTTCTTTCTGTCTATATGTACAAGATGTATTACCTGAATATTTATGTGAGAAAATTACAAATTCCTTCACAGTGTTAGATTTATAAGATGTAGACTGAAAATTTATAAATTTACAAAATTTATCACATACTATTTTACCCAAAGAAGTGTATCTCATAGTTTCAAAAAAGTCCATAGCAAAGCCTTCTATCCATAATACTTTTATTTACTGTAGAGAAGAATCATTTCTAAAACTCTTCTATTTGTAAAGATTTTATTAAGCTTTGCATTGGACATGGTGTTTTTTCATATGTGAATATTCAAATATAAGTCACATATTAATACAATTTAAGAATGCTGGAGACTATTCATTCAGTTGTTATTGTAAAACATTCTGAGAGGATGTGAGAACTCTTCAAATCATAATTTTAGCTCCTTTAGATTTTCTCTGATTTCAATTCACATCCCAATTAAAATTAAGATTACTTCACTATTACCTACAAATTGATTGATTCTAAATATTGAGAAAGGAAAAGATATGACCATTGTCCCAGTGACTGTAACAAAAATTGCTTCAAACTTTCCATACACAGTCAATAAACTAGCTGGGTGGATTAAATTAACCATACAAAGCTATAAATTCAGAGTTTTATGCACCTTAAAGAACAAGCTATAAAACATAGACAGACTTTCTGTTCTGGTAGAGTGAGACTCCCTAATCAATTTTTGCAGTTATGTTGTGTATTAAAGCCACTCAAGTCTATTTGACAGGTCACCCCTCTTAGGAGCAAATGTGTGGTTGAATGATTGGTTATCCCTTCATTCAACTTCTTTCCCCTCACTGAGAAAGCAGCCTCCACATTTCTTTCCCATCATGCAGAACCAATATGGAAGAACCCCTAAACTGTTTACTGAAAATCACATTATTGCCTAGAAATAAAGACGCACAAAATTCAAGATTGACACAAAGGAAATGTGCCTTGTATGGAATTAAATTTGTAAGACTTGAAAGTAAATGGAAGCAAGGAATCTCTTATATTGACTGTGGACAGGATGGCTGTTGCCAACTTGTGTTAAACACACACACACACACACAAAATCCTGACTATAAAAAAGAGACTGCTGGATGAGTGAGGGCCAGGGGACTGTGGCTCTTCATTCTAAACTCCTTGACATTGGCTTTCAGTTAACATGTGATCACACACCTGTCCCAGGTTTCATTCCTGCATCAACCATCAAATTGTTCCAAGCATCCCATGGAATTCCCCTCTGAGAAATGACTTT